TCCCTCCTGCACCCCGCCTTCACCTCCCCCTCCCTCCTGCACCCCGCCTTCACCGCCTCCTTCTCACCTCCTGCACCCACCTTTACCTCCTCCCCCGTCTGTACCCCAGCCCTGTCCCTTGCCCTCTGACCCTGGGCCTTGGGAATGGAGTGCTCACTAGAATCCCCAATCCCAATGGTCTCCTTGGGGCCTCTGCTTGGACCCTGAATCCTGACTGGTTCCACCTCTTCCCCTGCGACCAGAAAGGCCAAGTCCCCTCTGCTTGGTGAGTGGTCTGCACTGCCCATGGGGACACGCCACCCCGTGCAACCTCCCGGCTTTGGAGGAGAGGCCACATGTGGCTCCAGTGGTGAGGGCTGCACCCCCGGTCTCTGGTCACCGTGAGGACAGGCACCAGTGGTTTGCCCGGGGGGAGACCTCCCTGGACGGAGACACACCCAACGGCATTTCCACCATGTCTGGTGACACAGAGTCACCGCTGCTGGGGACATGGAGGAAACCGTCAACTGCTGAATGCACGGGGGAGCCCACTACTAACAGGGAGGGCCCGGGGCAGTCACAGGAAGGACGCCGGGCCAGGGGGACACACATCCACAGCCTCAGTCTGACTGAGACGATGCGCGTCAGGAAGAAGCTGAAATAAAGCTATTTCCCCCAAAGCGTGGCCCACCCAGGGAGCACTAGACACCAGGCAGACGTGCAGGGGCCGTGATGTTTCTCGGGGGCACCTCGGCGCCCACGGGGGTCCCGAGCGCGAGGCCTGGGGGCACTCACTTGATTTTGCTGAAGACGATGTCCACGTCAGTGACAGTCACGTTCTTCCCATCGATGACCTGGCAGTCCCTACACAGCTTCGACCAGTTCTTGCCGTGCATCTCCCTCCCGGTGGCCCGGGAGTCCCCGTGCACGGCGAAGCGCCGGAAGGCCTCCTCCAGGGCGCTGAGCTCCGGGGCCGCGGCGGCCGCCCCTTCGCCGGCACCTTCCGTCTCCAGCGACAGCCTTTTGGCCGCTCTGTCCTTTGCGGGGTCCCCTGGGGACTTGGGGGGCGTCTTGTTGGCGGCCTTGGCAGCCTTGGCCTTGCTGTCAGCCATGTTGCTGGAGGAGGAAGGGGAGAAAGGGGTCACCGCGCTGCCACAGAGCCGGGCCCAGGGCAGGAGGCTGGCCGCCCATGTCACGGTGGGTGCCCAGGGCAGGGCGGGTCCCTCAGGCGTGAAGGGGTAGGGCCACTGCCAGACTGCCCCGCCCGGCGCTGGCCCCCCGGCCGCCCGGGGGTTGGATGAGGGCTGTCCCCAGACAGTCGAAGCGTAGGGGAAAGCACCCGATCCAGCCTCCTGGGGGCTCCCTGCCCCACCAGCCGCCGTGCCAGCGCCTCCTCCCTGGGCCATATCCGCTTCGCTCTCCGGAATGACACCCTCCCAAGGGACCCGCCAGCTGATGGGCTGCAGCCCTAGAGCAGGCGCGTGGCAGGAGAGGGAGTGTGGCACACGGGGGCCCGGGGTGCAGACGGCCTGCAGAACCCCTCACCTGGGAACCCAGTGGAGACTGCCCTGTCCTCTCCACAGGTCTCTGCTTTGGTGGGGTACCTGATCCCCAAGGCCAGCGGGTCCCTGGGGGGCCCCTCCCTGTGTCACAGCCAGTGGCCTGAGACATCCAAGCCCCACCAAGGTGTGTGGCTGAGTCCCCAGAGGTCACTTTGCAGAGGAGCAGCTGGTGGCCATCCGCGCCCCAGGGGGCTCAGCAAGAGGGGAGCGCCCCCCACCCCCATGCCCTGGCACACGTGGAGTCCAGACCAGCAAGCATGTGCGCGTGTCCTCAGTTCAGTGGGCGTCCCAGAGGAAGCCAGGACCGGCACCAGAAGCCGGGCTCACACATGCCCACGCTCAGCAAAGCGGCCGCGGCCCCCACCCACGCCCTCTCCTCCAGGCCCCCGCAGGCGCTCCCAGGGACAGAGATCTGGACGCCTGGCGGCACCCACAGCAGCGGCGAGGTGACACCCAGTCGCTCTAGCGTTATCGCTGCCCCTGTTTCTTTGAAACAGGAGCTTCCCGGGGGCGGGGGGGGGGGGAGCCACATGTGTTCTGTGTGTCCTTTTCTATCCTGTGATAAATCCAGGTGCTATTTGATGTAATAACGATACAATTCGTTTCTAAAGCCCTGGGAGCTCGGCCACAGGCTCACCGGAGAGCGGGGCTGTCCAGACCCTTCTGCAGCAAGGATGGCCGCCCGAGGAGAACCCTCGCGAGGCACAGATCAGCACACAGCGGGAGTGGAGGCCCGTCAGCTGTGACCAGGTACTGCGAGGGGTGCCCAGGGGCCGCTCTGGCGGGCCAGACACCCGGCGGAGCGCATGCCCTGCTCACCCCTCCACGTGAGGGCTCCCCGCAGCTCAGGAGAGCTCTGCACACCCGCCTCTGTGACACCATGAGTCTCTCCTTGCCCTCACCTGCCCTCCTGAAAAGACCCCATGCTTTTCGGATGCTTAAGAATCTGGGGGTGGGGAGGAAGTGAGGATGGGGAGGAAGTGTACGCAGGGGGTGGGGAGGAAGTGAGGGTGGGGAGGAAGTGAGGGTGGGGAGGAAGTGAGGGTGGGGAGGAAGTGGGCGCAGGGGGGGGTGGGGAGGAAGTGAGGGTGGGGAGGAAGTGAGGATGGGGAGGAAGTGAGGATGGGGAGGAAGTGAGGATGGGGAGGAAGTGAGCGCAGGGGGGGTGGGGAGGAAGTGAGGAGAGCTGGGACACTTGGGGTGCAGGGTCTGTGAGTTGCACTTGGCATCACCAGCATCGGGCCCACAACGGGCGAGCTAAGCTCCCTTGGGCCCCCTCTGCTGCTGGCCTCAAGGGTCCGGGGCAGCAGGGTGCAGGTGGGGAGAGAAGCAGGTCCTGGAGATGAGCAGGAGGAAAGGCAGAAGGGGGAGGGAGAGGGGGCTGGGGCAAGAGCGCCCAGGCCTCATGTGAGCCAGCCCCCCCTCCAGTCCCTCCACCCCCCTTCCCCCCCCAGCCATCCCCCGCCCACAGGGGTCAGGAGCAGGGAGGTGATAAAGGCCCACAAACGCCCACACCCCACACCGGGTGTGGACAGACTGTGTTACTGGATTTGCATTTTCAAAGAAGGGCTTGGAGAGGCCCCACCAGGGTAGAATTACGACCAGAGTGGGAGGCGGGGCCAGAGGGCGGTCCCTGCTGGTGCCCCACACAAACCTGGACAGGCCTGACCCCCAGTGTCTGCCAGACTAGGTTGGTCCCACTGCTGGGAAAAGCCATCTGTCAGACACCATGCCATCTCCCTGGCCATCAAGGCCCCAAAGAGGCACCAGGCCAAGGCCCCTATTTCCAAAATGAACCAGGTCCCATTTCAGAATGACTCTCCCTGGCAATCTCCTCAAGCTTTGACTCCCTGAAGCAAAACTTACAGGAAAGGTGACACAGGACAGATTCCGACAGATCACTGTCAGCTGCCACATGGACATCAACACACAGAATTCCTGACCAGGAGCACTCGAAATCCCTATTAGTGATGTTCCTGCAACAGCAACTGGTGTGCCCATGAGCAGGGCCAGGTATGTCCGTGAGCAGGGTCAGGTGTGTGTGTGAGCAGGAGCAGGTGTGTGCGTGAGCAGGGCCAGGTGTATCTGTGAGCAGGAGCAGGTGTGTGTGTGAGCAGGACCAGCTGTGTGTGTGAGCAGGGCCAGGTGTGTCTGTGAGCAGGGCAGGTGTGTGTGTGAGCAGGACCAGGTGTGTGTGTGAGCAGGGCAGGTGTGTCTGTGAGCAGGGCCAGGTGTGTGTGTGAGCAGGGCCAGGTGTGTCCGTGAGCAGGGCAGGTGTGTCTGTGAGCAGGGCCAGGTGTGCCCATGAATAAGAGCAGATGTGTCTGAGCAGGGCCAGGTAAGCCTGTGAACAGAAGCAGGTGTAACTGTGAGAAGGAGCAGGTGTGTCTGTGAGCAGGGCCCGGTGTGCCCGTGAGCAGGGCCAGGTGTGTCTGTGAGCAGGGCCAGGTGTGCGTGTGAGC